AAGGGAAATGGAAAGTGGCTTTTTGGAGCAGTACTTCTAGTGTACAGTGTCTTTTTAGTTAGAAGCTAACCCCAACCCAGTGCAGTCACACTGAAGTCCACCGTTGTCAGCAAGGTGTAAAAGATTAGGCTTGTCCAGCATGAGACATAGTGGATTTCTCCAGACTTTCCTGTCCTGACTCAATCTGCATATGGTACATTTGAAGAAGCTTGTGGTTTGGGCTCACTGTGCAGATACAGCTGCCACATTCCGACATGTTTATAACATCATCTGAAACTGGAGCAGCAGGATTTGAATTAGCCCTGCTGCAGCTGCAGGACCACGGTTAAGTCTGTTTGGTTAAAACTGAAGAATAACCTCGGAGCTGAAAAGTTGCAGAGGTGCCAGGTCAGAAAATGGTATGTGAGCCCGGGTTGGGACTGGACCAGAGGTGAGCCAGTGTGCCAACCTAAGAAGTGGCTCAGCACTCACTGCCTCCTGACTCATCTTTATCAAAGTCTGGAGGATGGGAGGAACAGAAGCGAGCTTCCTCTCTGCTTCAGTGTAAATCTTAAAGTGCTGTGTGGCTAATCGCGTGTCATATGACCTCTGACATAACATATCCTCTCTGTGAGCAGCCCAGAGAGACTGCAGGCATCTCATCTCTCCCAGTCCAGAGCGGCGCTATCTGAGAGCAGGTCTGCCCAAAGATAAAACAAGTTTTGCTTTTACTCCACAACCTTTATGGTTTTTATTGAAATTTGTGTTCTTATGAAGTTGTCGCTCCTCAGTGCTGGCTGGTTTGTGCCACCTGGTGCTCATGGTCCACCTGATCAGAGCAGCTGGCATGGCTATAGACTGGTGGTGGTGCAGGTGATGCCATGGCTCTGCTGTCATTTGTTTCTTTGTTAGTTTGTTTTATTTACAACACAATGCAGTCTGTCGCTGAGTGTGGCCAAGAGGTTATTTAAGCGATCTCGCCCTGTGCTACATGTGAGGTACTTGTTATATTGTCCTGCTCAGTCTGTTGGCGCCTTCAGGACCCCTCGGCGTCATTCCTCTGCCGGTTAGCTCGACCCTGACACAACATGCAAGTACATTAACACTGAGATCTAATCTCGTTAAAATGAGCCACTGTCCTCTCCTGACTGTTACAGTAATTAGTTAAGGTCAACGATTACATAATGCTGCGGTGCCGATGCCGAACCTAAGCTGTGGTGTCAGTGTGTGTGTGTGAGTGACTGGGTGTTCATGTGGATCGAATGCCCCTGTTTGTTCAGATCCGTTTCCTGTGTGTGTGTGTGTTGCCCAGGGGGCTGCGTAATGGGTGGATGCTCGGCCTGCAGCTGGAGTGGGGCTGCAGGGCACCAACGTCCTTCTGATAAGGCTTATCGCTGCTGGGTCTGCACATGACAGTTAAAGACACAGCCACAAGAAGCTGCAGTATCTGATGCACTTGTCCTGTTGCTCTGCTTTCCTGAAACATAACAGCCAGCATTATGAGGAGATGAATGAAAAACTGGGAGGATAAAATTAAACCTTCAGAATAACTCAGGTCCTGGTTCACAGTCCTCAGCCTTCTAACTTCCCCTTATACTTCAGCAGCAACAACAACAGCCCCACTCTTTTTCTAAAAAAAAAAAAAAGCCTGATCTCTTATTTTAAACGTCTGCTCTCTCAGTTAAATCAAACAGAGTTTTGCAGGAACTGACTCTGGTCTTGCATTGTCCATGTCCAGCTCCATGTTGTAGTTTTTTTTTCCTGGTGTAGCTGAGAGACACCACGTCCCGTCCCACTGCCACTGGGTTTATCAGAAACAGTCAGACTCCAGCTCGGTGTCATTATAATGTACATAAATGTTTTTATGTTCTTATCATTTAACCTTTAACTGTAAGAGCACTTTGTCAAGTTTTTTGATAGTAATCTAAATCTAATCTAGAGTTATAAACACGTACTGAGGTTAAATTTGGCCAGAGCTCAGTGTTTGTCTTGTCAGATTATAAATGTTCACGCCCTCCCTTCCCAGTGAAAACCAGGTACTGATTAATTTTTGTATAACAGGCTGGATCCTAAGATCAATAAACTCCTTAAACTCTTGGATTAGCTGCTACAATCAGATGATAATCTTACAGTTTATGATGCATCCCTGCAGATTAAACTGTTTATAAAGTGTTTAAAACTAGTGCAGTGGCAACATATATGTGAATGCACCGGTAATATTTGTCCAAAACCATCACATATATCAGTAAAACACTGGCTGAGCAATTTTGTATGTTTCCCTAAGTGAGGTTTTAAGTCTGTGTGTTTTCACAGAACTTCTTCCACCACTGCACTGCATTATAAATTAATTTTTTTTGCTTATTACTTTGGCCAAGGAGGTTGTATGCTCCGGTTTCTGGGTGTGAAAGAAAATGTGATAAGGCCTTGGGACCTTTCTCAAACAAACCAAAGCAGCCGTTTGCGTCTGTAGCACAGAGGTGTGAGTGGAGGGTGGTGAGGACCTGGTGCCGTTGGAAGGACGACTCACTGTGCTTTTTGCAGCCTATAGAGTGTGAGGGCGAGCTGAGGTCATCTGATAAACCTTCATTTTAATCCTCCTGTGAGACCAAGGTGGGGATTATTCACAGCGATTGTTGTCTCAGCGCCGTTTGTGTGTCACTGCTGTTGTCGTCCATTTGATGAGAGCAGACTTTAAGCTCCCGTGTGACTTCATCGCTGTCAGCACCTCACAGTCACAGCGCTGGCCGATTACATAAGGATGGATTTATTGTTCTTATGTTTCATGTCTGGTGTTCGGGAGCTGCGGGCAGCTGTCAGCAGCTGCCTGAGACCAGACCTCAAAGCCTGTAGTCCAGAAAAACCAGCAATGCCACTGGTGCATGTAAAGGTCCTGGAGGCAGGTACGTAAATAACAGAACAAACCCAGAGGATAAAGGGAATGTTGATGAGGAAAGAAGCAGAAGGAGCAGACTACAGGAAAGGAGGATGGGAAAAGTAAAACTAAGGAAGGAAGAATGGAAGGAAGCAAGACTAGGAAATGAGAAGGGACTGGAGAAATAGATGGGAAATAATAGGGAAGACGAGATCATGAATGAAGCAAAGAAATCAGGAGCAAAGGGAGATAAAGACAAATAAGAGCCAGCGTAAAGGCTTGATCTGTCTCACGAGAGTGTGAAAATTAACTGTTGTAAAATGTAAACAAAGATAATAAAAGTCCCAGAAGAGGATGAGGCAGCGATGTAGCTTGAACCAAGTCATGTGTGTTAACCAGATCACCGGTGAAACCAGCTAATCAGGACTTCGTGCTCAACTTGCAGAGAGGATGACATGACACTGAGGTGATCTAAGCACCTGACCTGGGCTGATACCTGATGTTCTTAACGAGAGACTCAACGGATTGATTAAACAGGCTCTGACGGACCTTTACATCTAGTAGGAGTCTCCTCGGGTCATCTGTCAGCGCACTGTGACATTTCTTCTTCTTTGTCACTGATTTTGAAATACAGCCTCTATCTCAGCTAAACAGAGCGACGTGGATGTGACAGAGGAGGCTGCAATGTGGTTTTTCTGTCTGCATATCAGGTGATTGGCAGGAAACTGAGCTGAGACACGCAAAAAACTTTTCATGACTAAATTATAAAACAGGAGAAAACCACATTGCCCCTGAATGTTTACACCTTTAAAATAACAAATAAAGTGGCCCGGTGTGACTTGTGCCACCTGGTCACACATGCTCAGTCCCTTCAGCTAAGCTGATTAGGGCAGTGAGCTTTCAGCAGACCCTCTGGCTCTGACAAGGACTAATTACTGCTGAGGGACACGGACGAGCTGCAGCTGCACGCACACGGGCCCGATAGTTAAAGCCGGCTCTAGTGAAGTCAGAAGTAATGTCATGAACCCTGGCATGCTTAGTCTCTGTTCAGCACTTGTTTTAAAACCCTTTCCAAACTCAACTGGACAAAATCTATGTGGTCAGACGACATTTAGCCAAACAGTAACACCTCCTGTTGTAGCTTTGTATCTTAGGTTTAATTAGAGTTTTCCAGGAAGTGAATAGTATACAGTGTACTGAATGGTAATTTTATTGTCAGCAAGCAGAAATGTACTTCTAACAGAAAATGATGCAGTGAGTTTGCTGTGCCACGACCAGCCTGTGCACGTGGACAGCACACCTGAAAATCAAGCTGAATGTACATACTGACTTTTTAAAGTTACCATAACTGAAAACTGATCAAATTTTCAAATATACAAATAATATAATGATAACTTTATTTCTGCAGCACCTTTACAAACTGAGAACAAGAAAAGGATTAAAACAGTTCAGGTGAATAAAAGTACAGAGAAGGAAACAGAATAAACGACACCACAAAGATATAGGATAAAAATAAACTGACAACAAAATAGAATTAGTTGTTGGACGTTGCAGTGTGAGCATGAAGGCTTTTGCACATTTCCAACCTGAATCACTGACATTCAGTTATATTTTCATTATGTCAGTGGAGCTTCTTAACTTTTTTTTTATTCTTTTCATGTTTTTAAAAAATGGATGATCTGATAAACACAAACACTGGTTGCTGTTTACTTAACATGCATCCAAATTCCAAACGGCTTTTGATCTAATTTTACTGGGATGCTCTGCTCTCTGGGGGCAGTTTGCTGGTCAGAGGGGGGAGGTGGGGTTCGTCCCTTGTGATGCGTCTCATGATTGTGGTGCCTCATGGCTGCTGCTCAGTGTTTGGCCTCAGAGCACCACAGGGCTGTCACACTGTTGCCTTTAAAACCTGAATTCCCGTTTGTCTACGGGTCACATGATGCTTTCCTACAGGGCGCCGTGGGATCATGTGGAGGGGTTTTCTCAGCCCTGAGCTCATTTGTGTGTGTTGTTTGTTTGTTTGTTTGTTGACAGACTGGCCGAGGGCGGCAGGATGCTGTGGCTGGCGCGCCGTCCCCCTCCTCCGGGGGCG